TGGACCAGGGCGGAGGGAGTACTGGTGGGAAGCGGTCTCCCTCGGAATATTCCCATTGCCTTTGAATCAGAGAGGAGTGGACCTGCTGAGGAAACCCAGGCATGATCAGCCTGACTGGCCAGGCCCAAATCATGCCCCATTACCCACGGGGACGTTGAGAGCTGTTGCTCCTCGTGCCTCAGTCTCTCCCGTTGTACGACAGGCATAGCTACCTCATCAGAACACTCCATTTCAGTGAGTTCAGGCAAGTGTTTAGGGTGTTTTTCTTTTTTTTTTATGTGGTGCAGGATGTCAAGCCCAGGGCCTCACACATGCAGAGCAAGCTCTGAATCACTGAGCTGCATCATCTGGGGCTAACAGGGCAGGTGCACTTTGAGGACTGTGCATACTGATTTCCGTAATGGATGTACTCATCTCCATTTCCACGAATGCACTCTTGTACAGTCCCATACCTCTGTCCTTCTGTCCGTCCACCAGGCAGGCTACACTGGCTGGTCTGTCATGGTCAGGTGTCTGTGATCTGGGATTCCAGATCCCAGCTCTTTTTGGTCTGGGCTTTAGCCCAGGTACTGGCTGCCTGGCGTGGGGGACTCCCGGGGCACACACTCGCTCCCCTTAACTCCTGCTAGCGTCAGCAGGCCGCTTACCTGAACCCCCATGACGGGGGCAAGCAATGGTTCTTCCAGGACAGGTTGTGGGGCTGGATGTGCTGCTTGTCTGGGAGTCCCTCTCTTATCCATGACTAAAGGAGAGCTGAGCTGGGTCCAGTGTTCTTGGATAGAAGGTTTTCTTCAGTGAGACCTGTGGAGCTTCATGTGCTCTCGCCCAGCCTGGGAGGCTTTCTCCAGGAAGCCTCTCCTGAGAGCATGGGGGCGCTCTTGTGTGCTAGCCATCTTTTCTCCTACAGCTGTCCGAGCTTTGGGTATGACACATCTAGGGTAGACATGGTTGAGTCGAATCTGACCGGTGACTTGGAGCCTCCTCTCATCTGGATATGTGTGTTTGGGAGATTTTCTGTTATTCCTTTTTGTTTTCCGTGTATTTGTGGTCCTGGAGTTTGAACTCAGGGCCTTGTGTTTTGCTCGGCAGGCATTCTACCATTTGGGCCAGGCCTCAGCCCTTTTCTTTACTCTAGCTTTCAGAGAAGGTTGTGTGCTGTTCCCCAGTCTGCCCTTGTATTACAGTCCATCTGTTAGCTTGGGCTGACCTTAGATATCAAGCCTCTCATCTCTGCTTCCAGGATTGCTGGGATTATAGGTATGAGCCACCACACCTGGCCATATTATTTCTTTTTTCAGTTTGGCATTTTCAAGTCCTTCTGTGAGCCCTGATAATGCACATATTTGCCTTTATAATAATATCCCAAAGTTTCTGGAGGCTTCTTTGTTTCTTTTTATTTTTGGTTCCCCAACTGTGTTTTCAAATAGCCAGTCTTTGAGCTCAGTGATTCTTTCTTCTGTTTGATCTATACTCCTTTTGATGCCTTCAAAAACAAAAACAAACAACTTTTCCCTGAACTTTTTTGTTAAAAGGAGGTTCAGAAATTCTGCAATATAGCAAAATGAGCTCTTGAGCTCTTGATGCTGAGCCACATTCTCATGACAAAGATAAATACTAGAGCTTTCTCTCTGATAGGAAAGGCAGTGGGCAGAGGAACAGAAAAACCATTTAAGTTTTAAATGAGTGAGAAGGCATGGTGCAGTGGCTCATGTCTATAATCTTAGCCAGTTGGGAGGTAGAAATTGGAAGGATCACAGTTTGAGGCCGGCCCAGGCAAAAAAGTAGTGAGACCTCACCTCAACAAATAAGCCGGACACAGCTCAGGCCCATGACCTCAGCCGGGCAGGAAGTAGCAGTAGAAAGATGATGGTTCAAGCAGAAGAAACCCAAGACCCTGTCTGAAAGTGCACGAAAGCCAAAAGACTGGAAAGTGGCTCAGGTGATAATGCACCTGCCCTGTGGGCACAAGGCCCTGAGTGCAAACTCCAGTATTTCCAGAAGAAGTAAAACTAGGATAAAACGAATGTGAAGCCAGTATGTAGTTTGTACTATTTCAATTTAAGCAACCCCCTTTGCTTCCTGGTGCTTTTATAATTTGAACCACTTTTCAAGAGGTTGATGGCCCTGATTCTTAATCCCAACACATACAGGCACCCAGATTTACATTGTGAGGACAGTGGGCGTTGTCACTTTTTTCTTCTTTGTTATTTCCTTTTCTCCCCTTGAAAACATATGACCCTTTTTGCTCAGGTCCTAGTCTACACTTCCTCTCGTTGGAGAACATTGGTTTGGTGATTGGACGATGAATTTGCATAGAGCTTGGGATGTGCTCTGTGGTTCTCCACGGTGGCATGTCTGGGCACAGGCCACCTGTGCATCGATCCTTTCTTCACGCGGGACAGATGCCCTGCATGGAGCCATGGCCCGCTCCCGCTAGTGCGGCTGCTCCCCCAAGCCCGCTTGGCACCATGGGTAAGGTGGGGCTGGTACCGCCCTCCGTGGGTGAGTGGCAGCCAGCTGGGCTCAGGGAGGGTGACCACTGTGTGGCCTGCTGCCTTGGTCTCCTCCAGCCAGCCAGGCTTTTGAGTGAGGACAGGAAACTGAGCAAGTTTATGAGGCATATTATTATCTCCTTGGTGCTGTTTTTGCCGTAATGTTCCTCTGTTAAGATGATGGTCTGCTGCTTCACCGTCTCAGGGTTTGGTCCACTTATCCCTGGTGATTTCCGTCAGAAAGAGCTGGCGGCAGCCTAAGTTTATAAAATGAAGCCAACACTTCAGTTTGATCTGGTTCCTACTATTACTTAAATTTTAACAGAATGCTGGGCTTGCTGTTTTCTCTAGAGACTCACATAAGAACTTGCCAGGGAGGTCAGTTCCGTAAGCTCAGATAACACCACCACTTCCGGTAGAGGAAGGGGCGGAGCTGAAAGGAGGGCCCGCCCAGGAAGCCCTGCTTAGGGTGTGGAGCTGGTCATGGAGATGGGTCTGGCCCAGCCAACACCTGTTGACAGCTGACTGCCGAGTCTGTAAAGGTTTTCATGAGCATGCAGTTGTGTGACTAACACTGGCAATAGCTAACATGTATGTGTTTTTTATACAAACAGCACTATGCTTAAGTGAGTACAATGCAGTCTGCTTATTTCGACAGTATGTACTGATACTTACCAACTATGTCCATGTTTATACATCACTGAACTTGATAAAGAACTTTGTATGTTAAACCAAAGCTCATCTCAATTTCCGAAAGATGTAGATCCACAATCTGTATTCATTTTCTTAGCTATGTAATTAAATAGTGTGAACCCAGTTTGTGTTTGTGAGGGTCAGATCCTAAACCGTTTTGCTAAATGTCTGGGAGTCACTGCCTTGAAACTGGCAGAATTGATTCGCAGGCAGCCCCGACGTGGCTGTGACGTTCCATCCTTCCTCCCATTGGACCTGGACACCACCCTGCCATGTCACCGGGGATGTCACCCACCGCATCCAACACCCTTCACCGCCCCGCGGCCTTCTGCAGTGGTCGCTGGGCAGGAGCCTCATCTGCAAGTGAAGGAGCCATATTTCATGTACACAGACAATGTAACCCTGCCACACACACAGTAGGTACCCAGCCCATTAGTTAAGTGCATAGGTTTGGCCAACTGCCAGGGGAAATGTGGGATTCATCTGTACTAAACGCTGCAGACTTTTTTCCTTGCCTGCTTTCAAAAAGATACCATGAAACCACTATTTACATAGCATATATATTGTGTTGTAAGTCATTATACATCATCCAGAGATGGTGTAAAGTTCATGGTGGGGGGGGGAGGGGGGGTGGTGAGCAGGTCCCTGTCACTCCATATCAGGAGCGTGAGCATCCTCATTTCTGGGATGAGGCAGTAGCTGTCCACTGGCACCCCTTCGTGTGTAGGAGACTGCCCTGGAGGAAAAGCTGCCGGCTCAGGACGCGTGGAATTCCCCATTCCAGAATCACTCTTGACTTCTACACTGCCTGCGCAGTGGGCGTGAGTGCCCATAGCTGGGAACAGTGTTGGCGTACGCTGTCACAGAAGCTCCCATGGGCTGCGTGGACATGCAGCCAAGGCTAGATCGTCCTGCACACGGCAGGCTCCCTGGAACGCCAGCTTCTGGTAGACTCTACCTTTCAGAACACCTCAGATTGCACTTGTATCACTTAAATTAAGCACTTCTTATGGGTCCTTTTTGGCTTGAGAGGTTGGCTTAGCGTGTACCTTTCTTTCTTGGAGGCAGGCAGGTTACAGCAGACATTCAGAGCACATAACGACTGAAACACAGCCCAGACCACAGGCTTGCCTGAGATCTCCACAGATAACTCGTGGAAATTTAAAATTTCACTTTCAAAATCTCTTTTATTACTTTTTCTACCACACCTGACCAAAATCACATGTAATGAATCTGCCGGGAGGAGAGATTGTGCACACTGTACACACGAGTATACACATGCACGCACACACACACTTATTCATGGTTCGCCGTCGGCCACTTCTGCCTCCTTACCGCTCCTGTGAAAGGTCCGGACAGTTCTGTTTGGTTTTCAGTGATGGCTGAGAGTTGCTTTTATTGACATCATCGAGGTCTTTAAAAGGGACCTGCTTTTGTTGTAAGTTCTGTTGGGCATATGCTATCACGCTGTGAAAAGTAAAGTCTTTATTTCCTGATTGCTTTTGTTTTTTTTTTCTTTACCATGTGGGCTTTCTCAGAGCTAATTTATCTTCAAGTAGACATATGCTTTAGGTCTGTGCTTGTTAATTTACCTTGGAAAAATTAGGTCATCATCAAATCTGGCAATGTGGCTTATAATTTTGGCCAAATGGTCTAATTAAAAGCTTCCCCTAGATTTAAAAAAAAAAAGAAAAAGTGCTTAGTATCAGTAATGTTTTTGTTTTCCCCTTTGTGTATATGTAGGTATGTGTGATTTTTCATGTTGAATTAAGTCTGTTCTCTGCCTGCTGATGCTCTGCCTCCTTCCTTCTGCAGCCTCGAAGTCTGTGGTAAGCAGTATGCTGCGGGACCCCTCTCAGATTCCAGATGGAGTCCTGGCGAATCAGGTTTATCAGGTATTAATCATGGCTGTCCATTCTCGGTGGCAGTGCTGCTGTCTGCCTAGCAGGGTAAAGGATTTTAAACCTCATTTAATTACTGTCATCATAAACCATCACTGAGGTCAGGGTGCACCGTAAATGGCAATGCAGTATTTGCAAGAAGAGCATTGCACTTTTTAATAGCTTGCTTTTATAGTAAATAGAAAGCATGTAATTTTTGTTTTCTGTGATTAAATGTGTATAGTCTTCTGATCACTTCCTTTTTGGGGGTGGGGTTGTGGAGGGAAAAAACTAATAACTGGTTTTAGGATGGTAGTTTTTGTGGTACGCCTCCCCCCGCTCCCCCCACCACACACCCCCTTCTCTTTCTTTGTCTGCAGTGCATTGTGAATGACTGCTGTTACGGACCACTGGTGGACTGCATCAAACAGTATCCTTCCCATAAAATTTTAGGTGTTCAGCTGACGGCTCAGACTCGGTGGAGATGGGTCTAGCTTCAACCTGACATGAAGTTCTGCTTCACAAAACACATCTCATACTCTTCCATTTTACATCCAATCAGCTGGAGGGGCACGGCAGACCATTCTTCTTTACAGCCGAGGAAAACCCAGATAGGCTCTGGGAAGGTGTGCACGCACACGCTGGTTGCAATTGGATTGGCTTTCACTGAGGCCGAAGGTACAGGGGTGCAGAGGACTTGAAATGTAACTGTTCCCATGACCGTCTTTAGAAACTAGAACCAAGTTCCATAGGAAACAAGCCCGATTCCATCAAGAGTTGCAGAATACGTTGGGGGCCTGCAGTTAAAAGGTGATGTTCACTCAGATGCCTCCTGAGCGATCACGTTTTAAAGGGCAGCAGAGTCTCACTGCTTTTATGCCAGTTACAGTCTGAGCAGTCATTGGGATCTCTAATAAACATTTTCATGGAAACTGGGCTAATTTTTCCCTTGGATATGATTTTAAGGCTGCAAAAGCAGATACCCAGTCATTGTTCATTAAAAGCATTGGGATTCCTGAAGAGTTACATTTACTTCTTAAAATAGGATTGGGTGATACTGCTTGATAGAACAGACATTATTAATTATTTAATAGTGTTGTGGCAACAGTGGGAATGTTGACTAGAACTCCCATTTCAGTGATAATGAGCAGTTTCTCACAGTGATAGGCCTGAGGCCAATGCCTTTTCACACACACACACACACATACACGCACACGTACTCACACACGCACACTCACGCGCACACACGCACACTCACACACGCACTCACACTCACACACTCACACACACTCTCCCTCCCGGCTAGGTTTTGTTGGTGTGGATGGTACTGTAGCCTGTTGTGTAACTCAGTGCTTACCGGCCAAGATTTTATTGGACATTCTGTGAGTTAAATGTGTGTATTACACATGCACATGTACATCTCTCTGTGTTATTTCTTATATTCTTCCTGTTTCACAAAGGCCTCAATTCAGATTTTTTTTTTTCCAGGCACTGGTGGCTCACACCTGTAATCCTAGCTACTTAGGAGGCTGAGATCTGAGGATCTCGGTTCAAATCTAGCTGAGGCAGGAAAGTCTGTGAGACTCTTATCTCCAATTAACCACTAGAAAACCGGAAGTGGTGCTGTGGCTCAAGCGATAGAGCGCTAGCCTTGAGCTGAAGAACTGAGGGACAGCGCCCAGGCCCAGAGTTCAGACCCCCCACAACTGACAAAAACAAAACCAAAAAAGAAAACTTTTTGAGGCAGAGACTTCCTATGTAGCCTAGGTTGGTCTGGAACTCTTAGTCTTTCTACCTCTCAAGTGCTGGGATTATAGGCGAGTACTACCACACCTGCCTCAAAACTTTTAATATGAAAAATATTTGAAAATGATCTTTTAACAGTGCCTTCTCGCAAAAATATTCAGTACTTGTGATACAGCCATACCTACACACACATTTTATCTCTTTGTTCCCCTAACCTAGTTTAAAGTAATAAAAACATGGCATTGTCACACGCTTGCCTTTTTACTATGCTAGAGTGAAGCTGCACTTGTATTTCCAGTTGAAAATGAATGCCAGTGTGAAAAACTGTGGGTGTGTGTCCCCCCCCCCCCGTTGCTGCGGTGATCAGAGTTTAGCACACTCACTGAACGGCAAACACCCTCTCAGTGCCGGGGGCTGAGTTACATGTTAATGTTAAAGCACATAAGATAGTTAAAAATCAATGTAAAGTTAAGGTTTTAAAAGCATAATGTCTTTTGAAGGATTGCATATTGATTTTAAATATAACTATCTAATTATATATGCACAGGCTACAGTATGAAGTCAACGGCTTTGTAAATGCCAGGGGGGCTATTTCTCAGTAATAGTTGAGTTGCTTACGGGAAACTAGATTGTTGGATTGTTGGCTAAGAAATGGCTTCTGAGGTTATTTACAAGTTTTGCCGTTGGTCACGGCTTATGTCAGTAATAGATATTCTTACAGACTCTAATGTTCTGCTTATGGGGCATTTTTAAGTTCTGTGTGGAGTATTTCCCTTTTTTTTTTTTTTTTGCCAACATGTCTCTTCCTCTTCTAGCTGCCAGTAGAGTTTAATGTAGTACATGGTTGCAGTTGATAAAAGGATGCATCTCTATAAATTACGTTCACCAAAAGACTAGATTATAATTTTTGCCAGTAAAGAGACTGCTTTTGTAAGCTTTATTTTCTACACCTTACATATATGTTTATATATCAAAGCATAATCAAGAAGTATATCTTCCCCAAACTTCAAATTGGTGGTTGTTTTTATCATGCAGAATAAAACAGACTAGAATGTGTATAGAGAAACTGATTTTATCTTTGCATTGAAGCAGTAGCCGTTTTGTGGAACAGAAATATGCTTACAAAGATGTCTCTCTGATAAAAACAATAGGAATTACTTCATTTTACACTAAAGAAAAGATACTGGCTTCCCGTGTGAGTGAACATGCACCTCTGTTCATTGCAGTAGCTGCAGAAATTGTTTCCACCAGTGTGAAATGTCCCCTGTAGGCGTTTGTGTGCATACTGGTGGAGAGATTCCACACACAGCACAGGAGTGACAGAACTCTGACGTCGTGCTCTCTGCTGTCTGGTGTCTGTACCACAGGTGAGAAACTCATGCTTCACCTTCCCAAAGTGAGGCTATAGGGCCTAGCTATTAGTCAGGGGTCTGCTCAGAGAAGCAAAGAACCATAATGGGTTGATTGAGAAAGCATCCGGGCCTGTGGGTTTCATTTCTGAACCATCAGTAACCTCAATTTCATGATTCAACATTTTAGATGTAAATAATTTACAACAATGAAAGTGAGAGCACATTTGTTGGATTAGGAGTAAATAATTTAGCTCTAAAATACGGGATGCCCCAAGAAGCGAGAGACTACCGAGGGGTCTTCATCAGATGTCCTTGATGCGTTCTGCATGAAACTTTGCACATGTCTATTGCTACACTATTCACAGTAGTAAGTTATGGAAACAGACCAGGTGCCGTACAATAGAGTAGCTCCAAAAAATAGGTTACCTATACACAGCCATTAGGAAGAATCATATTATGCCATTTGCAGGGAAATGATAGACCTAAAACAAATCACGTTAAGTGAGGTCAGCTAGCTCAGAGAGACAAACACTGCATTTTTTTCTCTCATACATAGAAGCTGAATCTAAAATACCCTGGGACATGAAATATTGTACAGGTCTCTATAGATGCTCACGCGCAGTGAGACCCAAGGAGGAACACAAAGGTACAAGACCCTTGCGCCTCCGGTCATATAAAATTATGCATCAAAATGAACTCCAGGAAATAGAAACAAGATGTTTTTTCTTTGTTGTCTTTTTGTCTTGGGTGCTTGTTTATCTGTCTTTAGGAGGGTAAGGAGGGACACAGAAATGGAGGGGTAAACCAGACACCATGCCTCACACCTGTAATCCTAGCTGAGATCTGAAGATTGAGGTTCAAAGTCAGCCCGAACAAGAAGATCCATGAGACTCTTACCTTCATTTCTCCACTAGAAAATGGGAAGTGGTGCTGTGGCTTAAAGTGGTAGAGCATTAGTCTTGAGCATAAAAGCTCAGGGACAGCACTCAGGCCTCGAGGTTAAGCCCCATGACCTACAAACAAAAGAAATAGAGGGACAAAAGGTGAACAAACGCAGCAGTGGTCCTTACTAAACACTGTTGAAGATGAACTATACAACTTGTGGATGGGGGTGGGAGAGAGTGAAGGAAGAGGTGACACTGTCCAACATGAAATGGACTTCTTACCTGACATCACCTTTACAATAACAATAAGAAATTATATAAAAAAAATCCATTGCTTCAGTTAAACAAGGGGGTGAATGTAGAAATCTCATTGCTCCCAAATACAGGCTGCAGGGGGAAGTGGTTGTAATTGTCATGATTTACCCATTGTCTCTTGAAGTAGAGACCTGATATTAGCATTTCCCGAGAGTCTATTTCTGCCTTTGGTTCCTTCCTTAATGCAACTGCCCAGTGCCATCGGTCATGAGCACGAAGTCCTGTTGAGAGATTTGCTTCTGGAGAGAAACCTGTCCTTCCTCGGTAAGTGTGGCTCAGATCCTTGCCCGCCCAGACCAGCTCGAGCGCCCGGCATGTATGTTAGTGCCCGCATCTGCAGTTACTGCTTTCTGAAGGAGGGGATTTAGAACGGGCTTGCTGTATGCGCAGTACATGCACGGGCTGGCGATTAATAGTTTATTGAATAAGTGGCTAAAAAAGGCTTTAATATCTGCTGCAGTATTACTTTTGGTGTCATGAGATATTAACCATAATCTAGGCCTTATGAGGGGAAGAAGCAAGTATTGCCTATAAAATGTTTAATATTTGTAAAAGAGTGGCTAGAAAAACTCGTGTCAGGTATGCTACTCTTGTGTATGCTTGAAGACAAAATAATTAAATTTTTTGTATTTCTTTTTTTCTCATTCTTTTAAATTTCATTTTATTGTACAGATACTGTACAGAGGGGTTACAGTCCCATGAGTAAGGCAGTGAGTCCATTACTTGTCAACCATTGTTGCCCCTTCCCTTGTTGTCCCTCTATCCCTTCCCTCCCCCACCTCCCACATCCCTACCCATCCCCCTCCCCCCCCCAAGCTGTAAAGTTTGTTTCCAATATACTGTCCTGTGGGTATCCTTGTTGCAGTGGGACGTCCTGTGTCGTTTTTTCAGCCTTTTGTTATCCCCCTTCCCCTCCCCAGATTAGACAAATGTGTACACAAGATGTGAGGTATCAAAATCGAGTGACAGCATGTCTGGAGATGACAAGTGAGAGCCCCAAGGGCTCAGGTGTCACACTGACCGTGAGGGCCAGCCTCACCCTGCAACCGCAGATTGCTCGTCCCCATTCAGAAAGTGGCGCTTTGTAGAGGAGCCCGCGAACCATGCGGCTCCCATGCAGAGTACCACAGATATCCCAGGGCCTAGAGGGTAAAGGAAAAGCAGACTTCTATTCCAAAATTGAAAACAAATTGGCCAGGGAAAGTTCCATGTGTGGTCTCACGTCAGGAAAAGGAGTATGTTCGAGTATGTACTGCAGTCTTTTTTTTGGGGGGGGGGGCGGTCGTGGGGCCTGAACTCTGGGCCTGGGCGCTGTCCCTCAGCTCTTCAGCTCAAGGCTAGCGCTCTACCACTTGAGCCACAGCGCCACTTCCGG